TACTTCTTTTTTTTAATTTGACGTTTGTCAAATTCGATTTTTCGGCACATTTCGCTTGCATAACCACTCTGTGTTTGAGGAATTTAAAAAGAAATCATTTATAATCCAACGAGTAAATAGTAAAACACACTGATTACGAGATATCGCTCTCAGAAAATTCCCAGATTTTGGGTATGATTTTGTTTGATATATTTATCACTGAACCAAACTGCATTGGTTTCTTTTGCATTGTTTTTTAGGGTAAAACGTTATATTATCCCTCAACGCCTAATACTGCAAGAAAAAAACAAATTTTGGTATGTAAACCTGTATGAAGCCATGACGTCATAGCTTTTATGGCGTCATAATTGGGACCCAAAATGGCGCCTGGAAATGAGTTGTCGTAACTTTCCCACAGTCTACTCACTCATGTGCTCATCGTTGTATACCAACTATCGTTGAAAAAATCAATTTACGTCGATTTTTGAACATTTTAAAAGCCGTAGTTCGATTCGGCGCCCAAGAAAAGATATAAATCTACACCAAAAACATGGCAATCAATCAAGTTGAAGCGTTTTGGCGTAAAACATCTGTTTAGGCGAGATGACGTGTTTTTGGTGTACATGAGTAAGCAATAATGCTACCTGACTAAAATACCCCCCCCCCCCTCTTGCATTCGCATGTAGTCATACATATGAGTCTCAAAATAATATAATATATTGTTAAATTATGCTCTTTTCAACTCTATACCCATGACTGGTGTACCAAGTTAAATCCACATCAAAACCCCATTTGTCGATAAGTGTATTTATAATAATCACTTGAACATCCTTGGAGAATTATATCTATTTAGTGAATATTAATACCAAAGAAAGAAAACAACTCTAAATTCTGAATATAAAGTCATCAAATTCTTTTACAGATCTTATTGTGGAAACCCAAAAGTTATATGTCACCATTGCCTTTTTAATCACATTTTTTTTTAATGTCAAATACCAAACCATCTCTAATATTGTTTCATTATATATAATGCAGTGTAATCCTAAACACTAAAGATTTGGCCTGAAAATTTGAAATAATATAGAGGGATCATCAATAATTAATAGTAACATTCGATAATTATAAAAATGTATTATTGTAGGATGAAATCAACCTTTATTTTTAAACATTTAGTGAACATTTCGAATGTTAATGCCTCTTTTATATAAAATGGTTTTATTAATTAATCAATTTTTGTTTTACAAATTTTTAATTTTCTCCATTTTGTTTGATTTTTATGCTATATTTATTTTATCTATCTATAATTATTTGCCTGTGCTTTATCTATTAGTTCCCATTTATATACTGTAGAAAATTTTGAATTCCTAATCTGTTAAAGGGACTATTTTTTCTTAAAAGTATTTCAATTTAGTGCATTATTAATGTCTTTAGTGCTTGGTTTGGTTGATATTAAATTTAGATATTTTTAAAATGTATGTTTTGGGACCATGGGGTAGGGATATTGTGAACATATGTATTATATTCTCAGTTCTTTTTAAGGTTAATTGTAAAAAAAAATTAAATAGCTTTTTTTGAGGGGTGGGGGGATATTGTTATTATTGAACACAATTTTATTAGTATTGAAATTAACTTTTTTGATTAATATTCCAAATGTCTCGGTGCTTTATTTTTCAATTTAAATAGCTACTTTTTATTTAATAATTGGGAATGGGGGGTGGGTATTTTTTCATTGTATAACACAATTTTATTAGTAATGGAATTAACTTTGTTTATTAACCTTCGAGATGTCTGTATTGGTATTAATTAGGCATTAATTTATTTTTTCATATCATTTATTGAATAAATAATAATTTAACAAACAAAATTATTATGTCATTTATCAATAATTACAGTTTAAACAGAACGAATGGAAGGGGTTGCATTCGAAAGGTTGTTATACTGGATATAAATTGGTAAAATACAACACAAGTTTTTGTTATACACAAGTTTGTACGAAACAACACGAGTTTCAGAAATTTCAACACAAGTTTCAGAAATTTCAACACAAGTTTCAGAAATTTCAACACAAACAAGTTTCAGAAATTTCAACACAAATAATGTGTAGATTTTCACATAAGTTTTGTGTTGTTTCAACATTTAACACAAGTTTTGTGTTGTTTCAACATTTAACGAAAGTTTTGTGTTGTTTCAACATTTAACACAAGTTTTGTGTTGTTTCAACATTTAACACAAGTTTTGTGTTGTTTCAACATTTAACACAAGATTGTGTTGTTAAATAGAGACACCTAACTTGTGTTGAAAATAACACAAGTTTGTGTTGTTTCAACACAAGTTTTTTTTCAGTGCATAAAACATATATAATTCTTTTAGTTCAATAAAATATACTTTTCACTTAAAACTCAAACTTCAACGCATATTATATTGTAACATTTTGTTTTTTTGGATTATACAAAAGTTTTCAGAGACTGCCTTAAGTATGTAAATATAAATGTGTCAGAAAATTATTTTAATATTTGCAAAGAGAAATGAACGTGCTCTTTCGTGATGTATAACACGATATCCGGAATTCATATTAAGACAGGTATGTTTACTTTAAAAGCACCCGACTTTGATCATTTTTCTTTCCCCGTGTCAGTGATGCAGGACGGAAGTCCTAACAAGGACAACTGACTAATCGTTTGGATGAGACGAAAGAACGAGGTCCCATGTACAAATAAGCGTGCACGTAAAAGATTCCTTGGCATTTGGAATTCGATACAAGAGTAGGCCGTATATAGCACCACTGACCGAGCAAATTTTTCCTCATAGCACACTGCATGGTGTATGCCCGTTTTCCTTAGCCCAGTCGTAGCAGAGCAGTGGGACGTTAAGCCCCATTTGATATATCATTGATCGTCGACATTGTAGATTGATCGCATAAACTATTAATTTCCGGACTTTTTTCCGTATGCAAATAAGCTTCGTCGTAGATCCCATATATGGTATATGTTCTATTATGCATTTGTCTATTATGCAAAATGCGCAATGAGGAAGTGTAATGTGCAAAATAACTATTATACTGTATTTTGTATTATTGAAAAGTGTATTCTGTATTTTAACACTGTGACATTGGTAATGTGGAGCAATGGAAATTGCAAATTGTAAAACTAAAATACGTATTTTGAACGGATGCCATTCATTTTTTATCGTGAACATTGAAATAATATTGACAACGTTATTCTTCCATATATGGCAACAGTATGTTTAAGTTTGCAATAAAACACAATTTAATAGCGTCATTATAGCATTATTCATTTTAAGTTATATTTTCATGATTAATTTTTCTCCATTTTTATACACCCACATTGAAATGTGGTCGTATATTGTCGTCGCCCCCGTCCGCCTCTCCGCCCGTCCGTCGGCCCGGCGTCCACAGTTGCTTGTGGACGCTCTAGAGGCTTAAGTTAGTATCCGATTGACTTTAAATTTATACACAGTGTTTAAGGTCACGAGGCAAAGAAGCCTATTGATTTTCAGCGATCCACTATAATTACTGCCAGTGTTATCATCCTTGATCACTTCAAAAAATCTTGTGGAAGCTCTAGAGGCCAAAGTTAATATCCGATTGACTTTAAATTTATACACAGTGTTTCAGGTCATGAGACGAAGAATTCTATTGATTTTCAACGATTTCCGCGAATTACTGCAAAAGTTATGGCCCTTAATAATTATGCATTTCCATAATTATTTGGACAAATCTAGAGAGGCCAAAAACTTTAAACTAAACAATGAATTGACGCATTAAATTCCAATATTTGTCGATGAACATGACATCGTAGGTGATAAGTAAAATAGGCTAGAGGTGAATGTGAAAAGAATATACGGTAACGGAGTCCATCCGTAAAACTTGAAGTGATAAAGTCATATCATATCTGTCATCCAAACCAAAGAATGGTAGCTAGAACATTCACCAAAGACCACATATATACTCTATAAGGCACTTGTCATTTGTAATAAAATTAACAGAAAGATATAGATGTCTTTTAATTCCTGCTAAATTATTTTATTTACGAGACTGTTTCAAATATATTAACACAGCTAGATAAGGTAAATAAACTATTTAAGGATTTCCCTTTATCGTTGAGTGTTTATAATATGTCGATATTAAAAAGAGACGAGTATGACATTTGATCACCCATAAACTACTACAAAAATACAAATGAAATGGTGAGCAAACGTTAAACTAATAATATATTATTATGTCTTTGTAACTGGTGGCTGGAAAATTATAAGGATTGTCTTGACCTCGATTTATCTATTGGGAAAGATTGTATAGATAACACAGGAAACCTAAAATATAACATGCAGTTTCTGAAGAGATAGCAGGTGGTTCAAGTGGCGGAAAGCAATTAACAGAAATCTCCAATGGTTAACGAATACCCGTTGATTTTATTATGAATTTCCAAAATATGTTCGAACGGTTATGAAATCTCTCTGGTCAGAACTATTGATGCTGCATCATATTCCATTTGAACCCCAGAGTGTAATATTTTAAATGTAAATAACGGAAGGTTTCTTTCAAAGCCCTAAGCTTCTTGGGCATCACCCCGTCAATCCTCCCGTCATCTACAATTGCTTGTGTACACTAAAGTTAATATCCAGTTAAGATCATGAGACGATTTCTAATAATACTACCAGATTTATTGCCCGTGGACAATCTACAGACCAAAATTATTATCCGATTGACTTTAAATCAGGGTATACGGTCATGAGAGGAGGAATCCTATCTTCAACGATTTCCGAACATTTCAGTCATCGTTATCGTCCTTTACGTCTTTGAAACATCTTTAGATCCTTTATAGAGTTTCAACAAATTCCTGTAGTTACTGTCATAGTTATGGATTTTGATCATTTTGAAAATTCTTGTGTGTTCTCTGAAGTTGCCAATTTAGTTAACTTCTCAAAATAATAAATATGACCTGCTTTGTACTTTTCCAAGAATTAATTTTGACATTTTGATAACTCCAGTTTTCTTTTTTCAGACGTGTTAGATATCTGGAAGGTAGTAAAACTTTCCGTGGCAGTTTTATTTATAGTAATGTGATGTATGGGCTGATAACAACGATTGCTGAAAAACTTGGTGGCAAGAAATGGGAAAAGCTGGTTAAAGAGGAAATATTCGATCCACTGGAAATGACGTCATCTACTTTTTCTACCACCATTGATTACAACAACTCGAACGTAGCTCGAGGATATATAAAGGATTCTGGCGAAGACACACTCGTATCAACAGAATTCTTACGGTATTTAATATCTCTTGATTCGTTTTAAAATAAAAATCTAGAAATACACATGAGACACGTTATTATGTGTTTTAGAAACATATCTTGTTTATGGTCCTTGACTAAGATTGTCTATATATATTTTTATTCGCCCACATTGAAGTGTGGTCGTATATTGTCGTCGCCCACGTCCATCGGTCGGTCTGTCCATTGGTCCGGCGTCCATAATAGCTTGTGGACGCTCTAGAGGCTAAAGTTCATATCCAATTATACACAATGTTTAAGGTCATAAGACGACAAAATCTATTGATTTCCAACGATTTCCGATAACTTGAACTAATTAATTCATGGTATTAAATGTTTTATATACTACACGTTAGCATATAGAAGAACTAGAAGCCAAACAAATTCTAATTATTTCTGATAGTTACTTAATGGGTTGTGACTTGTAATCAGATTTTAGTGTGTTGTAAATGTTTTCATAAATGACAAAAGAAAAATATGCGACACCCTGGTTGACTGCAGGACGACGTAGCTGCTGTGGGCATATGTTTCGTTGCCTGGTAGCCTATCTTTAAAATATGTAATGCTTGAATGTAAAGTGTTAGTAAGTGGATGAGTTGTATACAGCCACACTGAAATGTCGTCAACCACGTCGGCCCGTTCATCTGTAGGCGCTCTTGGGTCAACTGACCTCAATTTTTTTTATGCACAATGCATTAGTTCACGAGACAAGAAGTTTTCGATATTGCTGCTAGAACTGTGGCCCTTGATCAATTTGAAAAATTGTAGATAGTTGTCAGGAACATGATTTAACTAAGTTTAAATAAATAGAACAGTACCAACATATATTTCAGCAGCTTCACGTGTCTTTACACAATTATTTACTGCCAAACCATTAACGATTTGTGAAACATCATTTAAACTATTGTTAAGTTTACTTTGAGTCCTTTCACGTATCCACCGTTTTTGTTTCTGTTTATCTTAGACGATGGGGTCTTCTATGTGGTTCCGGTTGTGTTATGGTCAATGCTGTCGATATGACAAACTGGATGCTGTTTCATCTAAATGGCGGAAAGAACAGAAAAGGCGAGCAAGTTCTTGACACCCAGGTTCTCATGGATATGGGCAAGTCTAGAAGTGTCGCTAGGTCATTCAAATATTACAACACTCCAGAATTTCCAAGAATGACTTCAAGAGATGGTTATGGCCTAGGCTGGTTTATTGGCTATTATGATGGTAAGAATATTGAAATTTTAATAACTTCGTCTGCAAAGAACCGTTTAAAATATGAAAGACACACGAATATCAATTTACATTTACCTCGTATCCACCTTGATGAACACGTAATTAAAACGTAAGAAGCCCTCGGGCACCATCGCGCTTGGGTATGGCATGTCAAATGCTTAAAAGTGTTTAAAAGTGCTTAAAGTTCGTTGATTATGCCACACAATTCGATGTCACACGAGGGGGTACTGGAGTCATGAGTATCACTATAAAACCTTGCGTTTTATTACATGTTATTTCAATATGCCGAAAAGCGCAAATTGAAGTCCATACAAAAGTTAATGAGTGGGGTCGTTAGTACTCCTTCTTATAATGTTTTATAAACATGTGGAAGATTCGGCGGGGCGTTAAATAAACATATTTCAAATAATATTACATGTCAATGCGCGGTCTGGTAAAACCTAATTTACATTGGCCTTAGACAATTAAACCTTTTAGTACTTATTGGCGATGTTCAGGTCAGGGAATAAACGTGTTTGTTTTGCCTTGAATCCGGCTACAGAGTGTAACACTATGATCCTGTTGATTCTGTGTCACGGCTCCAAAATTAATCATTAGGCTACCTTTGTCATGGTTGTAAATCTAACTATGTAAGACTACACTGTGTCACAGCAGCAAAACGATGGATTTTAATATGCACTTAGATTTTAAATCTTCACTTGATTTCACATTGTGTTATTTTTACATATTGAAATTCGAGGAAACCGTGTTGGTCTAAATTGCACATAAATGTGTTTAAGTTACTCACACCTCAAACCGTATAAGTCTAAGCCATCTACATTGTTAAGAGCACCTTCTCAGCTTTGTGCTTTGTAATAGTTCACCTATATATCTATACAAAATATGGGTTGGTATGCTCTAATAATTATTCAAAAAATTTTTTTTAAAGGATCGGGAGTTGATATCCGACTACAAAACAACGCACCATGCGTTTGTAACTTGTATTTTAGTTTCCAATTCATAAATTATTTTGTTTGAATTCGGTGTACTAAATTGGTGATTTCTTTTAATTTTAGGACTCAAGATTCAGTGGCACAGTGGTTCAACATTTGGCTACAGAGCGCTTCTCACATTATACCCAGATGAAAATTTGGGTATCTTTACAAGTTTAACTGGACATGACGATAATTACAAATACAGAATAAGCCTTCATAACTATATCACAGATAAAATATTAGGACGAGAACCATGGTTAAATGTGTCCACGATATGTTCTTTCCCACTACCTTGGTTAAATGATACAGAATCCGTTGATAAAGTTTACAAATTTATAAGACCATCTTTGGAATTATCCGCCTATGAAGGTGAATATGAAAACAAACTTTATGGGAATTTGGTGGTATACGTAAACGCATCTAGAAACCAACTTGAGATAGTTTATGGAATTACTAGATTTTCTCTTAAGAGATTTTCGGTCAATTCCAACAAAACTGAGTATTTTTATGGTGACGGCATGGGAATAATATACCAGAAAGATGTATCCCCGTTCGTTTTCAATTTGGAATTACAAGACGGCAAAATACAGTCGGTAACTGCTGAAGGCTTTTATGGCGCAAAAAGTCCACCAATATTCACTCGAAAGCGTGTAAATATTAAAGGCATATCAGCAGCGTTATCACCGTCCAAATGTTTTTATATATTTGTATTGTATTTCTTGTGTAAAATTCTCTTATAAAACTTGTCCATAGTGTAATAATAATGATTGCTCAATCTTTTACTACTGGTATATGCTCAAAACCGTTTGAGAGGAGGAACTATTGATATAATATAGGTGTATCCCCGTTCGTTTTCAATTTGGAATTACAAGACGGCAAAATACAGTCGGTAACTGCTGAAGGCTTTTATGGCGCAAAAAGTCCACCAATATAAAACTTGTCCATAGTGTAATAATGATGATTGCTCAATCTTTTACTACTGGTATATGCTCAAAACCGTTTGAGAGGAGGAGCTATTGATATAATATAGGTGTATCCCCGTTCGTTTTCAATTTGGAATTACAAGACGGCAAAATACAGTCGGTAACTGCGCAAAAAGTCCACCAATATTCACTCGAAAGCGTGTAAATACTAAAGGCATATCAGCAGCGTTATCACCGTCCAAATGTTTTTATATATTTGTATTGTATTTCTTGTGTAAAATTCTCATTTTCTTATAAAACTTGTCCATAGTGTAATAATGATGATTGCTCAATCTTTTACTACTGGTATATGCTCAAAACCGTTTGAGAGGAGGAACTATTGATATAATATAGGTGTCTGCATCCTATATTAATAAGATGGATTTACCTCCCTTATATGAACCGGCATATATTCGAACATGACTGCATCACAAAATACGGATTTCAGAATATTCCTGCTTCACAATATTATATGCATACTTCAGAATAGTGAAGTTGATAAACGAACCGAATCTTGATAAGAATTTTAGCCCGGTCTGCCATTTATCCATAGGCGTACGAGGCGGGTACCACATCCTGGTTAGTTTTAGGGCAAATAATTGTGTTTTAAATTTCAAACATTAAAATTATTAACTCTTTTGCTACTGATGATGAAACCAAGTGAAACCGTAGCATTATATTTCAGAGACACCATATTTAAAAATCATATTTTACAAAGTGAAATCGCCGCCCCAATGAACTCTTTAACCACATCAATGAGACTCTCTTTTACAAAGCGCCCTCTGTGAAATATAACTTTTAACAATGTAATTTATTGATAAGGCACGGGATTTTCCAGACTTGCTGAAAGGTTTACATCGGTCGTTACGTTCTGTTGCTCCACAGCCAACATCGATTCACAATTGGCACATTTGCCCCGTTTACACTTGGCCCCGATAAACGCGCCGTTCTCGGCAAGGTACCAGGCCGCGGTGTATTTCTTATGAACTCTCTACAGACTACATTTATCATCTGATTGTTTTGAAATCGGTATATGTTGTTTACATTAAAGAGATGAAGAATCCTATTTAATTTTAATAATTTCCGTTAATTTTTACTTGAGTAATGGTCCTTGTTTTACTTTGTTTAACCTTGTGAACGCTCTAACGACTAAAGTTATCACCCGATCTGTATGGAATTTATATGCATCATTTAAATTGGTGGAACAAAAACCTTATTGAATTTCAGCAATTTCCGTTAATTTATTCTGGAGTTATGGCCCTTGTTTCACTTTGTAGCACCTTTTTTATAAGCAATAATTATTTTTATTCAGATTTGTATCTGAATTTGAATTGGGGAACAGGCATGGCCTATAGTAGATCCCTTTCTGAGAATTACTTCCAGTGTTAAGGCCTCTGTTTCAGTTTGTAGAACCTTGTGAACCCTCAAACGACGAAAATTATAATCTGATCTTTATGTTAATAAATGCCTCCAATTATCTACAAAAGAACAAATGTGCCGGACGATTTAGCTGCTAAAGGCGTATGTTTCGTTGCCTGGCAACCTAGCTTATTTTGTTGGGTTTTTATACGGCAACATGTCCGTACACAATTTCCGATAATTACTGCCAGAGTTTTGGCCCTTGATCACTTTGAAAAATCTTGTGGACGCTTTAGAGACCATAGTTATCACCTGATTGATTTAGGCCTTTATATAATGTATGAAATGTGGCCGTATATTGTCGTCTCCCCCGTCCGTCCGTCCGGCGTACACAATTTCCGGTAGTTACTGCCAGAGTTATGGTCCTTGATCACTTTGAAAAATCTGGTGGACGCTTTAAAAGACCATAGTTATCATCTGATTGATTTACGCCTATATATAATTGTTTTGATTGACTTTAGATTGATACACAGAGTTTAAGGTCTTAGGGCCCTGTTGATTTTCAATGATTTTTGATAACTTGAACAGCTAAATCTATGATATGTAGCTGTTTTGTATACTAAACGTTACAATGGGCCAAACAAATTCTAATGATTTTAGTGTATTATAAATGTTTCATTACCGACAAAAGTAAAAATATCCGACAACTCTTGTTGACTGTCCTGACCTGGACGATTTAGCTGTTTTGGGTGTATGTTTCGTTGCCTGACAACCTATCTTTTTCTTTGTTTGGGTGGGTTTTTTTACAATTTGCTAAAATACATATTAGACAGTACGTGGTGCATTTTTTAATTAATCAGAATCTAAATACAAAAACAAATATTATGTATTAGATCCCTATTTAACTATACATGTATATAGACCTGACTATTACATCTTTATTTTGATGATTAAGTTTAATGTATATTGCCATAAAGTATCACATAATTTGCAATATAAATATTTGTATTTCTATCGAAGTTGAAGTTGTTAAATTATCATTGAAATTTTGAAATGCTCCTAGCTTACCGGTCGACATACTGCAAAACATCCCGGTCAAAATAATCTCCCAATCAGGTAATAATGTCCAGAATAATGTGTAAAATATAAAACCAAAATTATGTGGACCGTTGTTGTGATTATTTTAAAAGGAGACCAGGACAAAATGTTCAGGGCAATTCCCCCCCCCCCATTATTATCTTTCTTCCTATATTCCTATGTCAACTACTTCTGCTGATCACTTGCAGATCTATTTCAAATTTACTGGCCAAATATCTGTCTGAAATAAATATGCCATACCCAGATAAGTCTGACAAAGAAACCTTTCGAATAGCAACAGGTTCTATTAATTACCTACACGGATATATGAACACACGTTTGAATGTTTTAGTATCAAAAGCCAGAATCCGATTTATCAGGTTTTCAATAACTATGTTTGGAGTTATTCTCAACAGAACGTTCTACTCATGACATACCTATTACTAAAAAGAGACAACCTTTGTGAACTTTCCAGGCTGGTGTAGGAGTGTAATAATAGCGAGAAAACACAAAGCCTTGAAGGCGACATGTCTGCATACAATCTCTATTCCAGCATATTGTTTTAACCATTGAAGAATGGAGATGTAAACAAAGATGAAATTATTTTCTTATGCAATTTTCATTTGCATTGCTGTGGAACATCTCTCGCAAAGAAAAAAAAAACATAAAAGAATTGAGTCCTTTTTTTTAAATATTTTTTTTCTAAACCAGAAAGAGAGAAACAAAACAAATATTAAAGATGTATAACATACATTACTCAGCTATGTTCGCTAAAGCAGTATTAATAACGTTTAACGTAATAACGCAAAGGGCTTTTTTCTTTGGCATTTTCAATAATTAACCAATGAAAGCACGATAACTCAGCATCTGAGTATACTCAAATGTTGCTTATTTATAAACTCTTCTGTAGATTTCAAAATAACAATTAATAAAAACATAATAAATCATCTGAAAATATACCAAAATATATGCTTTGTAATTTCATACAAATTCAAAATACAGTAAATATACAAACCTAAGGAAACCTCTTTTATTCTAAGTTTGCATGTTAAAGGAAGTCGCGCTGGCTCACTAACCGGGAGGAGGTCCCGCTTTTGGTTGCAGTTGGTTAGATTTTCCATACTTATCTCCCTTGTCATTGGATCAGAACGCGGGGAGAGGGGAGGAGGCTAGCTGTTCGGCGGTCACGAGAAACCGAAGTGTACACGTAAAATAAATTCTACGAACAGTAGGTGGAAACGCCTCTATATATCACTCCATAGCGTATGGCTGTCTTTAATGTCCTTGTTTAAAACGAAAGTTCAAAATCGTGGTTTTACTTTGATGCAGAAGAGTAGGACGTTAAATCCCTTTCCAATGATTAATTGCTTTTAGTCTACAAAATTATACCAAGGTGAACTTTCTAAATATATATACATGTATGACCATCAGAATTATAGTTGTCAAAAGATTCAAAAGGCTGAAGCCACTAAAACAGGGACCAAAAACAAATTGAGAAACATAGTTATTATAGATACAATTAGTGGTTTTAAGATGTCTGTGTAGATATGTATATAAAGTATATCCATCAATTCAAAGTAATTAATTTTAAGTAGTAATTTGTTCGAATGTTATCGTAACATTAATAAGTGAGAGAGAGAGAGAGAGAGAGAGAGAGATGGGTTTAACGTCCACTCGACACAAACTAGGTCATTTCGGGACTAACATATGGTTCAATTTTATTTCAATAATTCTCTAGTGCGTAGGGGTCTTTAGTAGTGGGGGGAAACCTGAGGACCCGGAGAAAACCCACGAGGTTGGACAGGCGACCCTACTCCTTGTCACGTACAACCGGGGATTCGAAACCACGCCAGTTGACTCAATAACAGGCCTTATGATACAGCACGCACGTGCTAACCATTCGGCCATCCAACCCGCCACATTAATAAGTAATCCTGTTAATTGCGTATAATTTGAATTTGTCAAGCGTTGGTATTTATATGTCTTTTTTCACTATTTCATAAAATTAAAATGTTGCTAAATAAAAGGACTGCTGGTCAACTGGAAAATATGGTACATAAAATTACTGGTTAATGAAGTATTTGTCATATAGAATTACTAATTAATTAATTATTTGTCATATAAAATTACTTTTTAAAAAAAATAAAGTATATTATATTATAGAAAATCATAATATAGTACCTGTATAACGAAAAAAAAAAAATTTTCCCATATGAACACTCCCTTATTGCATTTTATAACCGATCCAGTTAATAAAAAGGGTCATTTAATATATATGATACTGAAATCTGTACCGAAACTTATGTATATGTAATTATGAATAGAAACTGGTATATTGTCGTCGCCTCCGTCCGTCTGTCGGTCCGTCCGTCGGATTGCTTGCGGACGGTCTACGGGCTAAAGTTGATATCCGATTGCAACGATAAGCTCAATTTCAATCATATAACAAACCTGTATAAGATTTTACCCTTTTTTTGCCTCTTGTATATTTAAGATTTGTCAATTAATTCTAATGTGATATTTTACTGGAAATTGAGGACTATAGACATTTTATTTCTAACTGTAATAAATACTCATCAATTAGATACGATCTTTGCGTTAAATCCTGTCAGTATAATCCTGATCTTAATAATATAACTAACCAATATAAGCTTTTATTTTTAAATGACTGTAAAATGTAGAGATTTTACCTTTATTTTGCCTTTTGTTTCTTTTAAGATGTTTAAATTAAGAAAGAACTTGGTGATACTATGATATTTATTTTAATTAATGCACGTGTGGCATATGAATAATTATTTTAAATTTATTACTAAAGCAGTGATACTCAACTAGTGTGCCGCGAGATCTTACTAAGTGTGCCGCGAAAGTTTGAACGGCACACTAAGAAAATTCCTCACTAAAGAAGCCAGCTATTTGACTGATGGAATTCGAAACGCTGCAAAAAAGTAAGTTCATAGCTGTATTTTTCTTTATTTAGTTTGAGTCATTCTATGTGTGTATGACTACTCTGTGTCCAAGGTTCTATGCCGTTTATGACTTGCCAAATTCAAATATTTTTCATATATATTTTGCCGCTATTGTTTCATGTGTTCCAAGGTGTGTCGTTGGCATAAAAAGGTTGAAATCCACTGTACTAAAGTGAACAAAATATCGATTGACATCTACATTTTACTTATATGGTGAGAGCTAAATAAAATATATTATTATTAGTAATAGTAGTAAAAATATAAGTAAATCTTGTGTTAACGACATCTGAAGAGTTAACGAAATTCTTACATATGTATCTTTAAGGTCAATATAACAAAATACCAAAAATGTTTTTCCAGATGAAACCACCCTTATTGAATTAAACAATCAATCTAATTAATAAAGCGCCAATTTAAGAAAAAATATAAATAAATCTTTTGTTAACACCAAACCACGTGTTTATGTTTATGTTTATGTTTAAACTACAATTTATCATTTAAAGCACAATATAAACTAATTACAGATTCTAGTATACAAAGCAGATGAAAATTAATTAATAGTCTTTTAAATTATATAGATTTACAAAATCGAATATAAATTAATTCATTTTTTTTAATTATTTAAATACTTTACACAATATATATTAGTGTTATTCAAATACGATTGCAACATTAGAAAGGTGTAAATGGACTAAAGGAAGCATCATAAGAACAGGGAAGAAAACAATAAACTGAACAGTGTAAAAGGATTAATACAAGGTGTTAATATTTTACCTACACAATTAAAATATATAATCTGTTGTACAAACAAACCTGTCAGTTGATTGACAGTCACTATAAGAACATATAATCAATGTCAATTATTTGGGCAAATTTTAACCTTAAATGATCCATGTCACTCGTCACGTGTGACTTTTGACACCAACTGTGTAATAAATTCTGGTTCAACGTTTGGTTCTGCATCATTCATTCTGTGTGGATCTCTTTGGATAATAGCATCTGTCTATAACATAAGGATTTTACAACTTGTTCAAATTATTCTTCGCCAAGATGGATTCCAGTAGATCATCTCTAGATCTCATGAAGTTTGACCAGCTTGAAAATTATGATAACTACGATTCCGATGGTAGGTCATCGTGTTTGTTATACTAGTGTGGTTTATTTCTTTTACTAGTTGTGGCATAGAAGCTTCAAATAAGTGACTCCACGCCCTTCAAGCAATAATCCAATCTGTCTTTATTCAAATTTATCAAAAGCCGATTCTCTTATCAAAATATTTAGCCGAATTAAATCTAAATTATGAAATATTATTTAAAACTTATTTATTTATTCCAGATAATTCAAGTCGATCATCTGGATATGAATCTTGTGACGACATCTGTCGATCAGAAAGAGATACCTCTTCAGCTCCACGAGATTCTACTAAAGAAATGATGGTGTTTAAAAGTAGAGAATCTTTGTGTGATAATCTAGATTATATTCTGTCTATGAATGAATTATGTGATGTAGTGTTTTTAGTAGGAGAGGCGAAGATACCAGTTTATGGTGTAAAAGCTATTTTAGCAACCAGAAGCCGTGTTTTATATCAGTTGATTCTTCACAGCCAACGCGAGGTCAAGGTCAATAAGAAGAAGGTTAAAGGTGAAAAGTTGAAAGGTAAACTGGTGATAGAGATAAAGAATTATGATGAAGAAGTATTCAGAAGATTTATCAGTTTTATTCACTGTGGTAAAATCAAGGCGGATATTAATACTGTTATAGGTAAGTTGTCGTTTTATAAATAAAAGAAGTATGTGTCTCTTAGAAATAAATATTTTAAGAATTTTAATATTCATAGTACCTAGACAGTCATGTAAAGCTTTTTAGCAGTATATGAAATTGATCTATATTAAACATTATAATAAACCTGTTTACTAAACTAATTCTCACCCTTTCAGGTTTATTTTGTGCTTCTGTTGAATATGACATGCAAGATT